GGGTGTGTGTGTGGGTGTGTGGGGGTGAGTGGTGGACAGAGTCAGCCGTCATCTTGCAGCTTGGCGAGAATGAGAACCGAAGATGTGTTCAGAAACACGTTATTATCACAGAAAGGCACAGTCCGAATCCATCAGCCAAACTTCACAACTTCTCCCATTTGTGCAAGTTTACCTAAACGAGAAATAGTTATTATGTGCTGTGTATAACAGTGCTGTCACCCTTACACTGGGTAGGGACAGAGCTCCAGTGACTTCACAAGATAAGGACAGTGCCACAGTGAGGGCACTGGGTAAGGACAGTGCCACAGTGAGGGCACTGGGTAAGGACAGTGCCACAGTGAGGGCACTGGGTAAGGACAGTGCCACAGTGAGGGCACTGAATGCTAGTGTGAATACAACAAATAGTTAGTGGAGGCATTGGTTGAAATTTTCCAGCACTCACTGGATTCCAAGAGGGTTCCAAGCAGATTGAAAAACCACTAATGTGATTCTCCTGTTCAAGAAGGGAGGGAGGCAGAAAGCAGGAAACCAAGCCAATCACTTTACTGTCTGTCACTGGGAAAATCCTGGAGTCTATTATTAAGGAACAAATAGCAGGGCACTTAGTAAGATGTAACACAATCAGAGTCAACATAGTTTGGTGAAAGGGAAATCATATTTGATAAGTTTGCTTGTAATTCCTGGAGGATTTAAAGAAGGGGAATCTGTAGACATAGTGTATTTGGATTTCCAGCAGGTATTCGATGAGCTGCCATATAAAAGATTATTGCACAAGATAGGAACTCGCAGTATGGGGGACAATGTATTAACATTGAGGATTGGTGAACCCGCAGAAGAAAGAGAGTTGGCAGTAATGGGTTTTTTCTGTGTTGGAAAGAAATGAAGTGCCACAAAGATCCGTCCTAGGCCTCAATTATTTTCACTTTGTATTAATGACTTGGAGGAGGGACAGAGTGCAATGTATCCAACTTCGCTGATGATACATAGATAGGTGACAGGGCATGTTGTAATGAGGACAGCAGAAGTCAGCAAGGGGATAATAGATTGTTTAAAGTGAGTGGGCAAAAACTTGGCAGATGGAGTTTAATGCAGAAAAGTATGAGCTTGTGCCCTTTGATAGGAAAAATCAAAAGGCAGGCTATTGTTTAAATGGAGAGAGAATTCAAAAAAATTCCAGCATGGAGGGATCCGTGTGTTGTGTGCATGAAAGACAAAAAGTTAGTATGTGGGTCCAGTAATTAGTTAAGAAGGTAAATAGAAATATGGCCTTTATTGCTAAGGTGTTGACATTTAAAAACAGGGAAGTCTTGCATGGATGAGTTGGACCAAAGGGTCTGTTTCCATGCTGTGTGACTCGAAGTATTTAAAAAGTACAGGATGTTGGTGAGGGGCTACACCTGGAGTACTGTGTACTATTTTAGTCCTGTGTTTAAAGATTGACATACCTTGGAAATATTGACATTGGAGGCAATTCAAAAGTGATTTATTAAGCTGATTCCTGGGATGAGGGGGTTGACTAATCAAGAATGGCTAAAGAAGCTATGCATTTATTCATTACAGTTTAGGAGAATAAGAGTACTCTTAATGAACCATACAATATTCAGAGGGAGCTTCAGAAGATGTGATTGCACAGTGTACAGACAATGCTTCAGTTATTACACTAGTTAGGGACTGTGCTGTAGTTATTATTGGATAAAGTCAGTGCTCGAGTGGTCTACTGATGAGTAACAGTGCTGCACTGATGGCATCAGTTTGGATAGAACTCCAGTGGTTACAGTTGGTAGGGACAATGCTATAGTCAGTACTCTGGGAAAGTACAATGCTATCATGATTACACAAGTATGTACTGTTTTATAGTGATGACACTGGGCATGGACAGTGCTATAGTGATTATATGGGTAGTGACCGGTCCATATTGTAGGCAGGAGTGACCTTGCACAGGATTTATCTGAACATGTGGTAATAATTTACTGTGACATGGGCTAAGGTCAGGATCATACAGTGACAGTAGTCGACTGGATTAGGCTGGCTGCTTCAAGAACGATTGGCTGTGCTAAAAACCGAGGAACAGAAGTTGATCATTAAAACTGCTGGAACTGAAATGGAGTTAGATGTGTCCGCAGCTTTGAAAGATAGGGGAGCTCTTTAATACTGTGACATAATCTGCACACTGAGACTGTGCTCAACAAGCAGTTTTGTTCAGTGATGAAGGGCCAGGAGGAAGACTGCTGAGCCTCGGTTACTGCCACAGACGCTGTAACTGGGGCTTGTCACTGAGTCTGAAGCTGTGTTTAGTGTAGACCATCCCGAACTGCTGACAAATCGCTCCATACAGCTTTCTGCAGTTCAGTTCAGACACTCAAATCAGACTGGGAAAAATTAAAGCAATTCTGATGCTTTTAGGAGGAGCTGTGATGTTTGAAGAGGCTGACATGTTTAATGAGGGTTAGCATGATTCAAGGAGTTGACATGATTTACTGAGATGTTATATTTTCAGGAGGTCAGACCTGTTTTAGGAAGAGCTGTCAGCAGAAAAATTTGGGTTCTTAATGCTCATAGTACTGGTACAAAAGGTGTTATTTTGCTTTATGCTACATGGGCACACCATTAGCACTGGCCAAACTCAGGACCTAGCTTGGTCAGGGTGTGAAAGAGGGCATTAGACAATGCATTGGAAGTTTGCAGAGCCTGATTGCAGAGATTGAGAGTACAGTCAATGTCTAACACTGAGTTGTACCTCTGCTGCTATTTTGAAACTCCCGCCTGCAAGTAAGGCCCTTTCTCCAGCACACAGAATTAAGCGAACCTCCAACAATGTGAAGGACCTATTGAAGGGGTCATAACCATTCCAAGGCTAGCTGCTGATTAATTCCTACTGGATCTGTCCATAGATGTAGTTGAGGGTTTGCAGAGTTGTTTACGGTTGTTGAAGTTAACAGGATGTGGCTCTGCATGTTGACATGACCTCGGTTCTGGCTCCAAGGGACTGCTCGGACCATACGATCCCAGTTATGAGCATTCCAGTTAACAACCCCCTTGAGCTGCAGGGAGATGGTGCAGAGGCAGCACAGAGAAGGACATGCTGCTGGAGGAGGAGGAGGAGGAATGGTAGTGGGAGGGGGAAGGACTCTCATCAGGGGAGTCCTCACTCAGAATTTCCCACAGTCGTTTCTCTTTCCTCCAGCTCTGCCAGGAGCAGCAGGTACTTACCTTCACTTCTTGAAGGAGGTTCCCACCAAATTCTGCCACCTTGTGGAATTGGACCTGCAGCCTGAGAGCAAGGTGAGGATGGCACGGCCAATGTCTGTGATGCTGACTGTCTTTACATCAGATCCTTCCAGACTCTAAAAAGAAACATGTTGACCATCACTAAGGAGAAGGTGCTGGGGAAGCTGAAAAGCCTGAAGGCGAATAAATCACCCAGCTGGAGTGAGGAAGGGTCCCGGGGATAGGAAAATGGCGAATGTAACACCCTTGTTTAAGAAGGGAGGGAGGCAGAAGACAGGAAACTACAGGCCAGTTAGCCTGATCTTGGTCGTGGGAAAGATTCTAGAGTCCATTATTAAGGATGAGATTGCAGAATACTTGGAAGTGCATGGTAAAATAGGGCTGAGTCAGCACAGCTTCGTCAAGGGGAGGTCATCCCTGACAAATCTGTTAGAATTCTTTGAGGGGTTAATGAGCAAGTTAGACAAAAGAAAGCCTGTGGACATGGTCTGTTTGGATTTGCAGGAGGCCTTTGACAAGGTGCACGCAGGAGGCTGCTAAATAAAATAAGAGCCCATGGCGTTAGGGGCAAGGTGCATGGATAGAGGATTGGCCGACTGGCAGAAAGCAGAGAGTGGGGGATAAAGGGGCCTTTTTCAGGATACTATCTGTGACTGGTGGAGTTCCACAGGGGTCAGTGTTGGAACCACAACTACTCACATTGTACACTAACGATCTGAAAAAAGGAACTGAAAGCATTGTTGCTAAGTTTGCAAAGATAGATGGAAAGACAGGTAGTGTCGAGGAAGTTGGGGGAGGTGGGGGGAGCTGCAGAAGGAATTGGACAGGCTAGGAGTGTGGGCAAAGAAGTGGCAGATGGAGTATAATATGGGAGAGTGTGAGGTTATGCACTTTGGTAGGAAGAATAGAGGTGGAGACTATTTTCTAAATGGAGAAAGGCTTTGGAAACCTGATGCATAAAGGGATTTGGGAGTCCTAGTTCAGGATTCTCTTAAGGTTAACATGTCTTGTATCTCGTTTTGGAGGTGGTCCAGAGGAGGTTTACAAGAAGGATCCTGGGGATGAAGGGCTGCTACTCTTATGAGTAGCAGTTGAGGACTCTGGGTCTGTACTCATTGGAATTTAGAAGGATAGGGGTGGGGATTTGATTGAAATCTACAGAATACAGAGAGGCGTGGATACAGTGGATGTGGAGAAAATGTTTCCACCAGTAGGAGAGACTAGGACTCAAGGGCACAACCTCTGAGTGAAGGGACGACTCTTAAACTGAGATGAGGAGGAATTTCTTCAGCCAGAGGGTGATGAATCTGTGGAACTCATTGTCACAGAAGGATGTGGAGGCCAAATCATTGAGTGTATTTAAAACAGAGATAGATAAGGTCTTGAATAGTAAAGGGATCAAGGATCAAGGGTTCAAGCATCAAGATTG